CCCCCTGCCTGCCCCTAGTGCTTACCAGCTCAGAGTCAGCTGCAGCTCCCTGCAGAGACTGCCTGAATCATCCCACCAGGGACTGCCTGAATCATTGAAGCTCTCCAGATCTTTTCCGAAGAGTCGGAGAGCTTTGAATCGATTTGGACCATTTAATTGGTCCCCTGATTTGATTCAGAGATTCAGCCACTGAATCGGGCCGGATCTCCTCCAAATCGAATCACCATCCGAAGCTTCACACCACCCTACTTCACAGTAATCATCGCACACAAAAAAGCCAGAAATTCCTAAGTTTCATTCCAGTCCTGCCATTGACTCGGCATGGCATGTAATACATCCCTAAACTGCACAGCCTGCCTTTATATCTGTGGAGTGTTGAGTCACATCTGCTTGCTCTGCAAAATAACTTGTTAGATGCAGAATGTTGGTCATTGTTCTTATGTTGGGATTCCCTTTTCCTCTCCTGCTGATGAATAATCCCGTGGCCAGCTATGAAGATCTTTCCATATTTTTAGTCCTCTTGGATATTGTGATGGTCTTATGGTCCTCAAGGAAAAGGCACGGCTAAAGCAAAATGTGTAATTTGCAGCAAGTGATAAACTGATGTAATCTGCCCTGATGTTCCATTTCTGCACACTCACCAAAGGTTACTGTGGTTTGATAGTCTCTATGGACCACTCTGGCATTAGCTAGCACAGTTTCGACTGATTTGATTAGCTCTCACAGACTTCGGTGTTACCTATTGCTGCTGTACTTTTATCTAGAAATAGGTCTAGGGGGTGGTGGGGTAGAGGTTGCTCTAGTTTTCCAGGCTGTTATGCAATGAACTTGGTCTGGTAGATAACCTGTTTCCCCAACAGTTCTTGCACCCTTCTTCTTTCCTTAAAGTAGGGATCAAGTTTTTTTTTTAATATTAATTCAAATGGAAGCTACTATATCTACATTAAAACTAGCCCCCTTCCTTTCTCTGTGATTTTTGCAAAAAAAGAGGTTTCTTTTGTGCAGGATGGTGGAAAAACAAGGATTCACACTTTGCATTCCCTAGAAGTTTGGCACGTTCAGTTTCTGAAATACTCTCTTGGTTCTTTCTGATTTTACTTGCACTAAGACTTTAATGAGTGAATGTGCATGTCTCAATAAGCCAAGGTACAAATAAATGCCAGCGCCACCCCCCCCAAATAAAAAAAATCAGTGCTATGCAGTGCTTGATTGTGTCCAGTTTTCTGAATACTTTGAACTTTGCATAACTGACACTGACATGTGTAGTTTTTTCCATTTATTTAAAAATAACCCCTAAAAAGGACCTGTTACGTTAAAATGCAACTGTTTTGGCCAAAATCCTGGTTTAATAAAATTTCAGTGTTGCTAATCTTGTCTTTGGATACTAACTCCCATTACTAAAATAAAGGAATCTTAGATTCTAACACACTAACATTAAAATAACACTAATATGAAACCTATTAAGTACTTGCTGTTTATGTCCTGTCCGGGCATTCTTCCAGTGAGTAAGTAAGCTACTTTGATCACTGTTAGATCTCCAGCAGAAAGGCAAACATTTTGGGGCACAAACTAAAGTTCTTATATATCACACACAGAGAACCGAGTTCTCTGATGGCACCTCCAGAATTTCACTATGTTTCATGACATAACACGAATATTAGTGAAAGCAAAGTAAGGTAGTTGCAGGCCTGATACAGCGCAACTAATGCTGTAAAGTGGCAAACAGTTTAGCATCGTAAGCGAGTCTTTCCCAGAAAGCTGAAAGTAGCTAAAATCCTGGTTATAGGGTTGTGTGTCATCACTTGTTCAAACTCAAGCGTAGATTAAAAAAAAGAACTGTTTCAAAGTATCATGATTGGCATGATATTGTACTTCTAATTCCAAGTGCGATACACTTGCAAACCTCTCTAAACGAAGGCATTGACAAAAATTATAGGATTATTTTCTCTGGTATCTTGGTACAGTGCCGTATGGTGTGAATAACTAGAAAGGTGTTGTTTGCTGTGTTACAGTGCCATGGGCAAATGCTTATTAAAATGCAGTGTGATAGCTCAGATTTTTTTTTTGTCTAGGCACTATTTCAGAAACAGAGCAAAAAAGTCACTACAGGATTTAAAAGGGTACTCCAGGATTACACCTTTGGTGCATCTCATGACTTCTAGCTCACCTTCATTCTGCAATACAGTTCAGCAAGAGAGTATTTCAGAATCATTTTAAATTCATTGGATTGTTTTTCCTGCCCACAAAAGGAAGATGCAGCTTAAGTGAAGCCACTCCGCACTTGGGTATATAGGTAACATGCTTGCAATATGCATCCCCTTCTAGTAGGTAAACCACAGAGGTTTGAGGCTGCTACTGCCCTGAGGTAAGACTGGCTTGAATCTTCTAAGCTCATGCAGTCAAGTCTCTTATGCTTTTAGATCCAGAGGCCCTAGGCTCTGATCCTACAGTTGCTGACTTTCCCAGGAGTATTGTCTTTTGCAGGCATGAGAGAGAGAAAAATGTAGCTTCTTTTGGGCTGGTGTTTCACATCCAGCTATCATTAGGTGGAGATAGAGATCTGTTCCTAAAACTTGGGTGCGTGTCAACTGGACCTTTTGGCAGACTAGATCTGTTCCGTCTCTCCCCTCCCCTCCCTTCTCACCTGAGATAAGGAAGTGCAAGAAAACTTTGTTTTGGCCTGTTTACCATCTTAGACCGTGGTCATACAGCTTCACGGAGTGATTAGACATACATTACACTCGGATGAATAGTGCTGCCTACAAAGTCAGCCCTGTCTGTATCACTGATGTGATGCAAACCTGGGACTTTCTGTGTTAACCCTCGAGTGACTACTGCTCAAGTTAAACAGCCCTTGTAGCCTGTTACCTTGTGTCATTAGACACTATACGAAAATGCTTAAAATATATTGAAGTAATGGGTGACCCCTGCCTTGGGAGTTTCAAAGAACCCTCAGACTCTGAATCCCCTCGTTAATAGAAATGACGTTATCTGGCCTGAAGTGAATTTTGTTCTGGTAATACCTTGTTTAGCTCTGGAGCCCTGACTAGGTACAACAGAAGTAAATTTGCCTCATGTCTGCCTGCCATTGAGCATCAGCCTTGACCTATAAAGATCACACCTTGATGTTAACAGGTAGTTTAGTTCCATGCTCCGTGAATCCATGCTGCTTTTTTGAGCCAACAAGAATGCTGTTGCGTTGGTGGATTCCTTTCATTGTAGATTATTCAGCAACATCAACATGTAGGCCGCCGACCCCCTTCCGATTGATAGTGTAACCGATTAAGACTCGGAGGAAGCTTTCACCTTCTTGACACCCAGACGTGTGCTGATAATTTGTGCGGTCTGTGTTTATGTACAATCAATTGGATGCTAACATGACCTCTTTTGTGCTGTTCTAGTGTTACTTGTACCTGTACTACAGTTCAGCAAGGAAGATGAAGGTGTTTGTACTGTTTTTCTCCATTTGTCTATGCAATATGTACTTGTATGGATTAAGGAACATCTGGCAAATACTCTTCCACATAGGAGTGGCCTCTCTTTCTTCATATCAGATCCTGACAAGGCAACTGGTGGAGAAACAGCCTGATCCTGGAGTATGAAAACAAACCGGGGATTTGTTACTTGCTTTTTAAGAACTCTTTTTGTATTTACTCACACTAGCCAAAACCAACTTGGACTTTCTTAAAGATCTGCAACAATGGTTGTCCCAAGGGATTTTGAAACAACTTGGAAAAATACGTGGAGGAATTTAGTTGCTTTTCATAACCATATACTGTAATAGTACATTGTAGGTCAGGGATGCCAATCTCATTTGGCCTGCTGGCTGGATGCGAGATGTGGGGAGGGTCTGCAGGATGGCTCAGACCCATGAACCGTCCTGTCCTGTCCGCTGGAGCCAGCATCCGGGGCTAATCCAGCACATGTCTTGGGCCAGCCCTGCATGTTGCATGCAGTGTGTGCTGGCACTTGTGCACGGAGCTGGCATGGGGCTCACTGCATGAGCTGCCCGTGTTGGACCTACCCCATGGACTGGCTCTGGTTGTAAGTGGTTATTAGTTCTTAGTGCCATGAGGGATCTTTATTACTCAGTCTCTGTTGTGTTCCTTAAACAAAAACATCTAGTACTCCCCCCCCTCCCCGTTCATCTCATTTGCTTTGTAACCATTTAGTATTTTAATGTGAAAATGCAGCAGTTTGCCTCTGGACAATATAAAGATGGATGTTAAAGCCGTGACGGATTAAAACGGTGGATAATAACACTTGGCACTTCATATATAGAGCTCAAGGCGCTCAACAAAAATGAGCTGAGGAAGAGTTAGGTTAGTCAATAACTGTTTTGGGGGGAAAATGACTTCTAGTGAATAACCGTCTTAAAAGCAAGCTAGAATGGTTGGGCTTAGAAAGGAAGAAAAACACCTTGGCCCTTACTCAAAATCAGAAAAGGCAGTGTCCTGTGGTTAAGCTGGATGTCTTGAGGTTTAGTAGGTGTGCACTCATTGGACAATTGCAGATCAGCTTGAAGCTGTGTAAAACAAACCAAGCAGATGTAATTGAACTTTCAGCCTGAGTAACCTTTTATTTTCCTGGTGGAGGTCATGGTGGTGGATAGGGCAGTTGTACGTCTGTCTGGTCTACAGAGACAAAAGCTTATTTGGGACAATCTGATGGCTGCTTCACCTATTAAAAGTATGTGGTTTGTGACTAGAAAGCAGTTCCCCATAATGGAGAGCAAGAGCAGGTTTTCTATTTTACAGGCACCTTTGGCTACTAGTACTGAAGCTCTCATGCTTAGGCAAATTTATGAGCATGCACTTTTGAATATAGTCATTAAAAGCTGACTTTCTCAACCCCTGCTGCACTGAATATGCATATATTTAATGTGTTGAAGTATATAGTAGCATTTAAAACTTCTCTCAACCTTTATAAATATTTTATTCTGTCTGTTTAAAGAATATATAACACTTT